CCCCAAAACCCCAAAACCCCAAAACCCCAAAACCCCAAAACCCCAATGCTGAACGCAATAATTGAATATTATGGCTACCACCCAAAACCAAAGTTATGGCAAGAAGATGGCCTTTGCAGGAGTTGCAAGTATCTGAGCTGGGTCTGCTACCCACCCAATCGAAACAGTCAAGACAAGAATGCAGGTCGTCGGAGAAGTCGGCGCGAGAAGCACAGTTGATTACAAAGGAAATTTCTTCAAAGCTGCCAGAGTTGTAATAGAAAATGAAGGAGCTTCTGGGCTACTCAAAGGTATTCAGGCGACCTGGATGAGAGAAAGCATCTATAGCAGTTTGAGATTAGGACTGTATGAACCAATCAAGCATTCCCTTGGTCATACCGATAAAAGAAACACCCCGTTTTATATAAAATTCTTGGCAGGGGGAATCAGTGGAATGTTGGCTTCTTCGGTTGCGAATCCAACCGACGTCTTGAAGATTAGGATGCAGGCTATGGAGAAAGATCACCATAATGTACTTTGGCATATCAGGGACATTATGAAGAATAATGGGGTGCTTGGCTTCTACAAAGGACTTCAGGCTACAATAGTCAGAGCCATTATGCTGAACGCTACAAAGCTTTCGACTTATGATCACATTAAGCACACACTGATAAATTTGGGAATCCTTGAAGAAGGATATTTATGATATTTCATTGCATCTACTTGTGCAGGAATGATAATGGCAACTGTCACAGCGCCTTTCGATATTGCAAGAACAAGGATCATGAACCAGCCTCACAACAAGAAGCTTTACGCAGGGCTCACAGACTTCTTGATCAAGACCATCCGGAATGAAGGCCCTATGGGTCTCTACAAGGGATTTACACCCCAATGGATGAGGTTTGGTCCATTTACGGTGATCCAACTGATGACTTGGGAACTTCTAATAAATTTATTTGCAATTAGAGCTTAGCCCAATCTTAAAATTAGCATAAGCATTCTTCTGTCTTTATAAGCAGTACTCAGTTTTTTCCGAGACTCATCATAAACTCAAATGCAAGCTTAATCAAATATCTAAATTCATTAATTGAGTTGTACTTCATTATTTCTGCAATAAATCAAGCTTTGGTTAGATTGTCATTTAAATATCTGATTCCCCTCTTGAAGCATAGAAGAGTGTGGAAAAATTATTGTACGAGGAGTTTTCAACAATATTCAGATTATTAGGGGTTTTGGGGTTTTGGGGTTTTGGGGTTTTGGGGTTTTGGGG